ACTGTATCTAGATCTTGCTTACTTCAGAAGACAAAAGCCTTGAATAACCTTGAAAACCTTGATAAGAGCCCTAACTCATGAGGTGTATTGTAATCTGAAAAGAGAAACACCCCTTTTCCCTCCTGGAACTGCACAGAGTTTTACTAAATTACCATGTACCAGCTGTGAATTATTGACACATTAAGTTAGTTTGTGAATTGGACCTTCATTATTTTGGAGGCTAGCGTGGGAAGTACTGCGACTGTCACTAGTCAAGCTTGTCCATGTTTTGCTCTGACTGGTAGGAAGGCAGCGTTCCAGGGAACCATAAAGGATAGCAGTTGCCACGCTTACAAAACCAATTCTTCATCAGAATCGCCTAGATCTGGACTTGAGTATCAGTTTTCGTTCTAGAAAAGGTCACTGAGACGTCTATGGCAAGATAGCTATGCTAATCAGGTTAGATTGGTTATCCAGTGCCGACATACTAATAGAATAAAGCTATAATAAAAATATATATTAAGACTAAAGGATACAGGATACATAAATTTATCAAATACATGCACATTTTTTATATAAAGATATATGCAAATCAGCAAATACAAGCATTTAGTACTAAACATGCGAAAGTGTTTTTCCTCAATATCAGGGCTGTTTGGGTCTTTCAGTCACCAAATGTTCACAAAGGACTGACATTCATTTTGCCACTCAAACACAGATAACTTCTGCTTGCAGCATCTGTAGAAGACATTTACATTCTGCACTGCCTTCAGCTCAGAGGTTGTCTGTACGAGGCAGAATGTGTACAGTGCTATTTTAGTTCCCTGTAAACCCACAATCCCACTGTATCAGATATCTGGGAAGAATCTGAGGAAGAGAAAAGGACTGTATAGGCATTTTGATGTACATGTAGATGACATCTTAAAGATTGCTTGTCAAACTTACCTGTTCTCAAGCAATAATCCCACATGCTGATTACAACTATATGGAAGTGGGTTTTGCTGTGCTACACAGGACTGAGTGAGCCACCCAGCTCACTTAGCAGCTTACAGCTTACAGCTACACTGTAAGGTAGCACAAGGTTGAATTCTTCAAGATTGAATCAGGCCTTTCCATCTTTAGGCAGGCTTTTGCTGCCACAGTTGCTCCAACGAACTCGGTTCTGGATAGGTGTCATCTGTGCCAAGTCATGACTCTCACGGTGAGATCTCACTTCTCAGATAGCTGAAGGGTGGCCTATGAAGTGCCATACATTCAATCTCAACTGCTCATTTATTAGATTAAATGTCTGCATATGGAAATCGCAGCACACTGTTCTGTCTCAAGTGAGCCACTCACAAGAGAAGGTCCTCAGGGCTAAAGAAAATGCTGAGAACTTTGAACTGGCTGTGGCCTTTGTCCTGTATGAAATATATTTCCAGTAGGATAGCTACATGAAAATAGGCATTGTGATGACTGAGACACACAAATCAAGCTATTTTATAGTAGCTGAGAAGGAAGTTCCTAGTTTTAAACTTGAGAAGGGATGCACTTAGTCCAAATGATTCACCATTTCCTTTTTGTTACTAGTACACAGCTCCCTCTAAGCCCTTTGTGTCTGCCATAGAGGCACCAGTTCCCTTGCTTCCATCGCTCTATGCAACGTTGACATAGGCTGATGTTGCTGCTCTATGTGATGTTGAAGTAGGCACATGTTAGGAAAAAAAAGTTCTGAAGCACAAAAAGGGAAATTGCATCAACCCCTGGCTAGCTCAGTAGTCAAGGACCAAGCTATTGTCTTAGCTATGGTCAGCTGTATGGAGTTACACTCCTGAAAGAAGAGGAGTAGATTGGGATACTAGTGAGGGATTCTAGTGGGATCCTGAAATGGGAAAATTTTTTTGGTAGAACAGCTGTCCACAGATCTGAGTCACCCTAGAGGCCTTCAGTAAAGGTATTTCTTGTAAGTGAGGTGATGCTTTAGAAAGGCGTGTTCTCAGACAGCGGCTGCACGTCTTTCAGAAGTCCTGGATACTGAAACTAGGAAGGCTATATCTCTTATCGAAAGTCCCAATCCTGGGTGCTGTGTGCAGTGCTGGCTACAAAGATGTCTGAAGATTTGGCCAATTCTTTGACAGAGTCAATTTGAAATCTTCCCTTGTATTCTTTGGAAAGAATGAAATCAAAGACCCAAGTTTATTCAGGATGTTGTCCTTGTAACAAACAATCGGCCTTAGAATTACAGGTGGAAATGGGAGACTCAAAGTATCCTGCTCTCATTTCCTTTGAAAAACCTGGTGATAGTCCAAAAAAGCTCTGCAAATGGCTGATAGTAAAGGGCCTCCAATGTCCTTGTGCAGACAGCATTGCTGTGATCCTCTGGTCCATCTGAATGAAGTTAGCTCTCCTCTCTTGAGCTATACCTTCATCAGACAAAGATGAAAGATGCAGCAGAGGAAGACTGCCCCCATCTTGACACTGGTATTTTGATGAGCCAAAAGTAGGAGTGAGGTGCCATTGCTCCTTGTGCTGGCCTACACAGTGCCGTAAAGACTTGAAGCTGGAGTCATGAATTTACAGTGGAAGTGAAGAAATCTAAAAGAATGCCAGAAGGAGAGAAGGCAGTTCAGCTAAGACTGTAAGATACCTTGGCAGCGAGGCCAAGGAGACCGGACCCAGTGCAGGCCCAGCTCATCAAAGGCTGACCAGACTGGTGCTGGGTGCTTTCCACTGCTGAAACTGCTGTATTTGAACCTAGGCTGGATGGAGGCACCAGAGCTTGACAGAATGTGACACGGGACCAAACTTTGCAGCATCTGTGGATACCACTAAGAGTCAAGGCTCGTGAATGCAGTCGCTTGCTGGTTCTCTGCGAGGAGCAGCTGCTGACTCCCACGCAAACTGAACACTGAGGGACTGAAATGTATTTTGAGTGCAGTCAGACTGCACAGGAGCTGCGTGCAAGCCAACACCAGCTCTAAGGAGGATTTCATGGCCTATTTCAAATATGTGTTTTTGGAGTTCGAAGTTCCTTTCCCTTCTCCTGGCAGAAAGAAAACCAATCAGGAATGTCCTCTCCAAACATTGTAATTGTCTGATATCCTAGTCAGCACCTTGGATATGATTATACAGCGCACAATTCAGAAAAATAGTCTTTAGCAAAATTGCCATGGGTGTAGCGCAAATTGCATGATGTGCAATGTACAAAAGACTAGGCATAGAGGAGCAAACAGGAAGCTTGCTTTTGAGTAGAGAATCTCAAAACTCTCACCAGGCGTTTGAGAGAAACCAAAATATCAAATTCATTCTGCTTGGTGTACAGAGGCAGCACAAGTGCTTCTTCTACCGCTACTGTGAAGGCAAAAGTTCTCAAACAATAACGTGTATAACGCTGCATGGAGCAGACATGAAACTCATTGCTTGATACTACATTACATTTTCTTAGTAACACACAGAAGTATTACTTGCTGTGAACGGTGTTCCTCATCGCTAAAATATAGCTACCTACCTTCCTCAGAAGGAGAGGCAAATTTGGTTGTGTGTTTGTTGAAACCCAGTCATGAAAAATAGCTTGACCAGTCTGGAGAACCTCTGCTCAAAACAGAATCTTTGGGATGTTAAAAGAAAAAAAGAATTATTCAAAAAAGTGAGTGGTCATACAACAGAACAAGTGCCACTGCAAAACGTGCATTGCCTAAACAAAACTAGGACCAATTCACCAATCTTGAACATACAGACACCCACTAATACACAACCTTGCTAAGTCGTCGTCACTTGGAAGCCTTTAGGTCAGTCACAGCATTATATACTCCGAGACTTTAGATACAATAAACAAATTAACAAGTCAATGCTATTCATCTTTGTAACAGTATGATACTGAAGTTACTGTTTTTATTTAAAAAGATTTTAAAAATCTTTGGAAACTGTTCTGTGCATCAAAGATGTCATGTTATTTTAACACAAGTACTTAAGAGAAAGAGCTTAACCTCCCTCATTTGATGAATGCACTTTGCTGCGGACAACAGAGCCTACAGAATCTTCTCACATAAATCTGTGGAAATGTAGTGAATAATTGTTTTATGGAAGCTGCTCCTCTATGTTAGGATGCTTACAACATCAAAGAGAACTTGTATTCATATTGTGCCAGGTGGTTTTTTTTTCAAATTTAGATTGTAAGATAAATTAATTATAACTTAATCCAAACTAATGTGTTCATCATAGGCTTTTTCTTCCTCCATAGATTGATGCAGAAGGAACACCAGGGGATGTTTTTCTGGAAATCTGCATGTCAATTGACTCTTTTCTGAAAAAGGAAGAGGCAGCATTTTCTCTTTCAACAGAATTTCAGTAATGGTGTGTACAAAGCTTCATTTCACGTGCACTTGATGGTCATGATTAAAATGCTGTTTGAAGCAATGCTGTCTGCAGTCTTGGGAGGTATCTAGAATTTGTGCATGTGGTATAAATGTCATTTTAGATGAAACCTTTTTTCTCTATTCGTACAATACACTCAATAGGAAGTGGTCTCTATGCTAATTCTACACTAAGTACTGTATATTGTTTTATTAGTTGTTTGCTATTCATAGGTCAAAAGCAGCATGGTGAACAGCAGCTCCGGTTTTTATTTCATGATCTCATACATTTGATTGAGAGTCAGACACATTGCCCAGTCAGCAAGGAGCTCTTCAACCAAACCATTCATCATACAGCACATTAAGATTGCTGCATATAATTTCCCATTGGTTAATATTTCTTTTAATTAACAGTATTAATTTTTGTTCTATCACTTAACTTGTTCTTGATTTTTAGTGACTGAAACCTGCTCTGTTCTACTCAGCTGTAAGACAGCTGGAACTATAAACTAACTTACAAAGCTACAGAAATTAAAATAAACTTTTGAAATGCCCCCAAAACACTTACTACAACAAGAAGCAGAAAAAATCGTTGAATGTGAACATACGATTGACTGTCGTGGAAGTCTGTCAATCCATTATAACGGAACAGACCCAGTTACGGAGACAACCTTACCTTTTGCTGGAATCTTTGGATACTATAGTGACTTGCCAGTTTGTGGGCTGAGGTGAAAATGATTATATAGTGCAGTTAAATGTGCAATCCAGTTATCCACGTTAATAGTTTTATTAGTTGAAATTTATATACGAAATTGACCATGAACCAGAACGTATTAAGAAGTCCTTCTATCATACTTCATAAGTATTTCAAATGCAAATTTAAGATCAGCATCCGTTGCCTTGTAGTGACATTGCCAAAACCTTGAAACTGAGAGCAAAAAAAAAAAAAAAAAAAAAAAAAAAAAGGTCAGGGATTATTTGATTCATATTGCTTGCATTTTTAATAGGTCACTTATCTACAATATCTGCAAAAAAGTCTGTAAAAATCGTATCATATTTCTGTTAAGTTAACCAAAATAGTGTGTAGGTTTTTTGGTACACTGATAGCTATCTAAAAGCTTGTTTGACATTCCTGTAAAGTAACTGCATCCTCTTACTGAACTACTGGATAACTTCACAGTTGAAGTGGTTGCATGATCGCTCTTTCTGTCAAAGTGGTACTTTATGGGGCAGATTTGTATTTTTAAAGTTATCTTTCTTGTAACGAAGATATAATACAAATAAAACGTACAAAAGTGAGGAGTAATGATTTCTGTTACAGTGTACGTGGGGTTTAATCCTTCTTAAAGCACAGTACATCATTTGAAAATATAGATCAAACCAGCATGCTTGCAAAATATGTCCTTTTTCCATTCAGAGCGGATTCTTCCTTTTTTTTCCTCTTCCTTGGCATTTTGCCCAGTAAGCACTAATTCAATTATTCATCAAGGGACTGTTTTAGGTATGTTCTTATCCTTTATATCCTGGACGCTCCTCCTTGCTTGTGTCCTAAGTTTACCTCTGATGCTCTAGGAATGCATTTCCAACTCCAGAACAGTGCCATTCAGTGACGAGTAGCGTCTGCAGTACATCAACTTTGAGCAAGAGACTTTCAGAACGTATCAGCTTGAAAAGGCAGGTTTTTCTAATCTTAGCTTTGAAGCACTAGGAGATGTCTTGTATTTTTCCAGAAATTAAAGGATTCTGGAGTTACCACGAAGCTGCAAATTCATCTGGGTAGTTCAGTATTTTTATTACTTCTAATTACAACATAAGTTTAAAAAACGTATGGAATATCATACTTGCACAGAATGGGAACAAAGGTAATAATCAGCTGCTAATTAAAAAAAAAATCACTTACAAAGTTATTTTACATACATTTCCAGTTTAATTTTTCTTTCTGCTTCTCCTGGCCCTTTCTGTGGAAAGAAACAAAAAAAACCCTGTGCTTGATTGGTTGCATGTGCACTAGATACTATTTGCACTTGTTCATAATGTATGCAAGAGAAATAGCTGTATATGCATGCATTTATACATATTCAGTAAAAATGGACATATCCAAGACACTTCTTTCCTAGATAATTCAGTTTGAAGTTCTCCTTCTCCTTCCAATCTCATTCAAAAAAAATCATCTTCTTTTGCTTTTCCTAAGCTGTCCTAAAGTTATGATTACATATCTGCATTTAAGCATATCTTCACTGAAGTACTTAGTATGTTTTCCTCCAATAATTTTTTCAGGAAATCAACAGAAAACAAGCATTATTACAGATTCTCCCGAATAATAAATCTTCATCAGGTCTGCTTTCTTACAAACAGCATGAATGAGTTGGAAAACACGTTTTTAATAGTACTAGAGAGTCTCTTGGAGCGGTATCTTTTTCCATTAAAGAGAAAACTGAAATAAATCTGAATGTTTGTGTTGTATTTTTTAAGGTTTATTAAATTTCTCTAAGCCTATGAGATATGCGAGATATGTTTACAGATGATACATCACTCAGTGTTTTAGTAACTGTAAAGTATTACCTTCTAAATAGATTAACTGCTTAAACTTTCCTCTAAAGCCAAAAATGTCTACACCTGAATATTACTGTGAAAATTAATACCAATCAGGTTATAAGTAAAGTTATTAGGTGCAGCCAGGCAATTACCCTTCTTATTACCATATTTTTAAGCCCAATTAGTTCCTTTTATAGCTATTTGCTCTGAATATTCAAGTTTTAAAGCAATTGGAAATCTATTACAGTTAAAAAATAATCAATGTTTCTGAATCACAAGCTATACATTTCAGTAAAAAATATATTAACTAAAAATATGTCACAATAATTACAAAACTTCTCAGACATTGATGTATTTTTTGGCTAATACAGCGTACCAGTACTACTAAAGTCCGACTTTTCTGTAATCTGAAGAAAGAATAGTTTATGAGTAAGGTATGAGAAAACTGAAATGTTAATCCTGCAAGAGGCTAAGCATATTTTAGTTCTCACTGAAATTAACAGTGGGGGAAGGTGCTAGGCATCTTACAGGTCTGCACGGTGAGGACTTGTATGACATTAAAATGTACTTTTTATGTTTTTCATCTTGATTAAAAAGTCAAAACTACACAGAAAGGAAGTCACGGCAAGCATTCTCTATATAAACAGACTGTATCCACATAGTTTATTTCTCACAGTTCTCCTGACAATTGAACATTATTTAAGAACATACTGTATACACAGATAAGAAGAAACATACAAAATGTTTTAAATGATGCACAACAAAATCCAGCAGTATAAAAGAATGCATGTGAACCCTTGCTCACTGCTCAGGCTAAATTTAATCACTGTTTAAATAGTAATAAAAATACAATCTTTCATGGATCTTGTGCAGACTACAAAAGAGGAAAAATTATTACCATATATATGATTTATATTAGGCAGTTTTCTTTGATGAGTTGCACTAACAACTCCAAATACAGAGGCAGAAGGCTGTGTATTTTATTTTAAAGGAGTTAATGTTGAGTATTAGAGACTTTACACAGTTACTACCACTGGCACTTTTCACCATATTTTGTACACATCACATGATCATCTTATATAACATTACATTTAAAAAATATATCTGAGTGACAATTTTATAACATTCACACACCATGAGCTGGTTAAGGAAGCAATGCCACAGTTGCCCCCTGTAGTGCTTCACTGTTGGTAAATAGAGTTCATCGTGGTTAAAAAAAAAAAAAAAAAAAAAAAATTTGAAAGTCAATGTGATTAAGCAGCTCCGATTTAATAAAGGCCTGTAACCAACCATCACTGAGACAGTGAGTATTTTTTAGAGTACATCCTAGAAGCAAACACTGTCATTGGTTAAACCTTGCCTAAACAAGTCAGTTACTGTGCTGAAAACTATTTCACAACAAAACTGCAAGCTACTAAACTGTTTTTATATAAATACTTCATCTCCTCTGGATCTCATTGTAACCAAGTTCTTCAAAGCCTTTGGAATTTACTCTATCTTTAATGTGTGCTCTCATTTCTGGCTCACCCTTTTGTATGGTTTTCTTTTTCTTTAGATTCACCACCTAAAAATGACTAACGTGGTGAAAGAAAAGTCTCCCAGTGAAACCTTCTGCACACTAGGAATGTTCAGCTGCTGTTCAGTGATCTAGAACCATGACAGTTCAAAGCTGTAGTTTGACAAGTACACCCAGGAAGCTGTCATGCTGTGAGCGACATTTCAGGGAAAGCAGAAAGTCTTTCCAAAATGTGCACAGAATTAACAATGGTGCCATTGTTATTTTTCAAAGAGGATAGTTAAGCCCAAGATTGTAGCTCTGCTTCCCATGTCATCTATTTGCTGGAAAGTAGTTTGGGTCAAGATAATTGTAACTGGTGCCCTGGGACATGCAGTAGTCTCTGTCTAAAAATGTCTCTGCTCTGTAAATAGGCTCTAACTGATGATCTTCCTTATGAATCTCTGTTTCATG